TGACATCACAGTACAGCCTGAGGTCACGGTGAGGTCAGGGTGACATCACAGTACAGCCTGAGGTCATGGTACTGACATCACAGTACAGCCTGAGGTTACGGTGAGGTCAGGGCAAAATCAGGTGCGGTCAGGCTCAGGGAGGTCATGGTGACGTGCGGTCAGGCTCAGGGAGGTCATGGCGAGGTGCGGTTCAGTGATTTAGTGCAGTGCCCAGTGTCTCCAGGCCTGACTGCCTCTCTCTGCAGGAATGATCCAGGCGCTGGGCGGCTTCTTCAGTTACTTCGTCATCCTGGCAGAGAACGGCTTCCTGCCCTCCCAGCTGGTGGGCATCCGGCTGAACTGGGACGACCGGACCAACAACGACCTGGAGGACAGCTACGGCCAGCAATGGGTCAGTGTCGCCCGGCCGGCCTCCCCCTCTCTCTCAGCAGCAGCTCCAGCAGCAGCCCAGTGCAGTTCCTGGGAATTAACCCCCCTGTCTCTCTCTCGGGCTCAGTACAGTGTCAGTGTATTAACCCCCCTGTCTCTCTCTGAGGCTCAGTGCAGTGTCAGTGTATTAACCCCCCTGTCTCTCTCTCAGGCTCAGTGCAGTGTCAGTGTATTAACCCCCCTGTCTCTCTCTCGGGCTCAGTGCAGTGTCAGTGTATTAACCCTCCTGTCTCTCTCTCAGACCTATGAGCAGAGGAAGATCGTGGAGTTCACCTGCCACACGGCCTTCTTTGTCAGTATCGTGGTGGTGCAGTGGGCCGATGTCATCATCTGTAAAACACGCAGGAACTCTGTCTTCCAGCAGGGCATGAAGTGAGTCCGACCCCTCACTGGGTCTGCTGGCCTTCTGTCTGTCTCACTCGCCCTGCCCGTCTCTCTCCACCTAGCCCTGTCTGTGTGTCTGACCCTGCTGTCTCTCTCTCTCTGTGTGTCTGACCCTGCCTCTCTCTCTCCACCTAGCCCTGTCTGTGTGTCTGATCCTGCTGTCTCTCTCTCTCTCTGTGTGTCTGACCCTGCCTGTC